CTGACTCCAATTTTCACTACAACTTTGTTTTGAGCATTTGGATTCTCGGGTCATTGCTAATCAGCGTTAATTTCAAGGTCCGTCGTTACCGAGATCAACCGCAACGTTGCTGCTACCCTCAAGGCTTGCGGCCCGGCAATTCTGGCTCAAGATGACTTCATGAAGGAGATTGTCACCGTCACCACCACAATCATCACCCGGTCTCACCCTTGCCAGCAGGATCTTGGTGATGATGATGAGGAGCAGGAGGTCGAGGGCTCGTCCGAGTACGACTGGCTTGTTATCGACACGGCCCTTGATGCCGTGATTGGCCTTGCTATTGCTCTCGGCCCAGGCTTCGCCGAGCTCTGGAAGATCTTTGAGAAGCCTATTCTCAAGTTTGCCGCTTCCGAGTCCGAGAACATCGAGAGGTCTACCGGTGTTGGTGTCATTGCCGAGTGCGCTGCCAACATGGGCGCCGAGGTCACGCCCTACACCGAGAAGCTTCTCAAGCTCCTCCTCAAGCGTCTGTCTGACCCCGACTCTGAGACCAAGAGCAACGCAGCTTACGCTGCCGGTCAACTCATCTACAACTCTACCGCCAGCGGCACCTACCTTCCTCACTTTGGCACCATCCTCCAGAAGCTTGAGCCAATGCTTCACATGGATGAGGCCCGCATCAAGGATAACGCTGCCGGCTGCATCTGCCGCATGATCATGTCCAACCCAGACCAAATCCCCATCTCCGAGGTCCTCCCTGCTCTGGTCGGTCTCCTTCCCCTCAAGGAAGACTACGAGGAGAACTCGCCAGTTTACCAGTGCATCCTCAAGCTTTACGAGGCTCAGGAGCCTACCATCCGGCAATTGACTCCAAAGCTTGTGCCCGTCTTTGAGGCAGTCCTCGGCCAGCCGGATGAGCAGCTGGATGACGAGACCCGTGGAATTGTCCACAAGACCGTGCAACTCATCAAGAATGCCGGTCTTGCATAACGGTCAATCGTGGAGGGAATATTTGATGATTTCATTGCACATTGTGCTACGAGTTCCGACGTGATGACATGGTAAATAAAAGGGGGTTTTATTGATGGCTGTCTCATAACTGGTATGGGAAAAGCTTTAGCTGGAGCGGGCAGAAAGAGATGTGTATTTCTAAAACGGGCTATTCGATACCTCATTGTCATCAATAGTCATTTATTTTCAAGAAAAATTGTTTGGTTTCAACAAGTGCATTCAGCAAACGGTTGCGCCCTAAGGAATCGACCGAGGCAATGAGTATACTGTGTTGAGAGCGCGAGCGTTCAAGAAATCATTTCAATAAAATACCCAAGCTCTATCCAAAGCAAATCGATAAACAAAGTCCCTGGTCCCAAATATCCCATCTAATTACCTGTATCGTCCCGTTTCGTAGCCAGCCATCCATACCATATCATCCAAAAACCCATAGCCCTCGATCCGCTGATCAACCGCTCAAAATGATCCAGCTCCGTTTGTCGACATTATCATCTCATCTCTCCATATACGGCTCATAGGGCTGCGAAGCAGACAACTGCTGTCCGTTCCCACGCTTAATCATCTGTATTCCGTCCCTCGCGCTGCTGCTCTCCTCATCCGTCACGCCTCCAGCAGAGGTGCCACGCAGCTTCGAAACGTCTCTGTACCCCACCAAGACCTTGCCGGGGAACTTCCACAGAAACGCGGCGGCCACGAGGAACATCAACATGGCGTCCAGCACCAGCAGGTAGACTTCCTTGGTCATGAGGTCGCTCTCCCTTCCCGCGCCGAACTCGGCCATGCGGAAGATGGAGCGCACCATGATGAGCACGCTGGAGGCGTAGAGGATCAGGATGAGCTGCCTCCAGGGGGCCGTGACGCTGAAGGAGCGGGCGGTCGGGTTCTTGTTGATGCGGAGGTGGAAGACGATGGTGGTGACGATGAAGAAGCCGAAGAAGAGGACCTGGATGCCCAGGCCGACCAGGATCACGGCTTGGCCCAGGTTGTTGGCCGATTCGGTTTCTGCGTTGGCGAGGATTCCGCCGCCTTTTGAGGTGTATTGTCAGTAACATGTACATACTTGCATCTATTTCAAGCCGTCTCGGGTAGTAAAATAAAAAGTGAGTAGAGCCTGATGAATGACGTACCAGCTCCTTGCGTGATAAAGGACAGGACGTCGCCGAGCACAAACACCTTTGTCGTCCAGTTTACTCGAATCAGCGCGTACTGGTGCGCGTCGAGGAGTCGGATGAGCCGGCCGAGGACCATGTAGATGGAAGCCGCCATGAGGGCCGGGCCGAGGAGGATGAGGAGGGTTTGGAGGAGGTACGGAACGAAGGAATAGTTGGGATGGGTCTCGCCGGCTGATATGACTCGGAAGATGTAGCCCACTGCTTCGACTTTTTTGTTTCGGAAGGGTTTTGCGTTAGCAATTAGTTACTGACCACCGGCACTGATCAATGTCTATCAAGAAAAACTTTGATCCGCTTACAGAGAATGCCTATCACGAATGGGATAAAGTACCACGTCCTCATTTTGAACATGAAGAAGGAGTGTCCCAGCGTGGCGGCGAGGAAGAGCACGACGAAGACGACGTTGGCTGCCATGTTTGGCTCATAGTCGTAGTATTCGGCAATCCTGGGGACGCCCCCGGAGCCGCCTGTGGGTTGTTCGTTTTCTGACATGGTTCCCAGCTGCTTGTCTGATATACAGATATGTTCGTATTTGATGTTGTCGTTGGTGCGATGTTGAAGTTGATAAGGCACTACTAAAGAACGAATGACAGAAAAATGAGACAAGAACAAAAAGATGGGGCAAAATCAACAAGCATCAAGATATATATATATATGTGTGTGTGTTCTGTTCATGTGCAAAGAAAGTATCCGCGCGGCAGAGGGAAAAAGCCAAGCCACCCTGTGGGTTTCCAGCAACCAAACCTGACCTGAGACGACGCGCATGACTCAATTGAAATTCTTTACGTGGAATTTTTTGTGAGATGGGATTGCTCCGCCACTTTGATTATATTTGACATGGCATTGGGGTTGGGTCGGAAAATTAACGTGAATCGGTGCGGATTTCCCCCGTTCGCTCTCGGTTTCGGATACCTTTTCGGTCTGTAAGTACCCCTAACAGCCATCGGCACTTTTGGGCTTGGCACTTGACAGAAATACCTGCCAAGAAAATAGGTTCGGCTGTGTGTTTTGGTGAGATAAGCCCCTCTGAGGTATGTATCGACCACCGCCAAGAGAAAAACCACGTATGTTACAAGTTAAGGGGCACAGTATGAGGGCTCTGCAGGCGCCGCCGGGCCTCGGGCGAGCAGGTTTGTGCGGTTGTGCAACTTCGGAACCTTCCATACGCGGAATTCGATTCTGGAGATGTGATTGGTTACCGTTGATTCAGGTAAGGTTATCCGCCCTGCCGTCATCTCTCGACAGGTTGACACGAGATCCTGTGAATCCTCTCTTCAGGGGGCCAGGGGTCAACGGGCCAAAAGGGCGAAGGCAAGCGAAAGAAGAAACAAAATGAATACGCGTATCGATAAGGCATATTATAATAACCCGGATGGCCCCCCGTCTTGACTTGACTTTCTTCCTTGATCACAATTTATCTGGGTCTACCAGACCAACGTCCTGGTTCCAGCGATATGGATACTGGTGCACCAATTTTCGATGTAACCATCTGGTTCCGACCTCCGATATTCATCATCCACCCCTGACACGTCTTACTCTCCCATATTGTGTAATGTTCCGTGATGGTTAGTGAGATCGGTCAGTTGAGATGGCTCATCGTGCAGTCCATGATGGATGAAGCGTCGAGACGGGCTTGGACTTTGGACGGGGAGATTCGGGGTTATGCCCAAGCGCAACACCAGATTATTGATCTTGGCAGTGTGTTGTTGCCTGGAAGAGGGAACGCTAGGACTGGTGATTTTAAATCACCCCTGTCAAAACAAAAAACAAAAACAACCTTTTGAAACTCGACACAGGCGCTCTTCATCGATTTTCATGTTTTTACACGTAATTTCATGGTGTTTCTATTTGACAAAATCACCAAAATGCATCCGCCACTCAAATTCCTCCTCGCCTTGCTCCCCTTCGTCTCCATTCCCGGCGCCCTCAGCCAACTGGGCAACGGACCAACGTACAATGACCCTTCCATTCCCGACGGCGCCGACAAGTTAGAAGAATGCGGCTGCTGGCCAATCTACCAGGCAATGCTTCGCTGCCAAAAGATTTCTGGAAACTCAACCGCAACCCGTGAATGCGTATGCATCCCGAATCCGGACGGATGGTACTCCTCCTTCAACGGATGCCGCGGCTGCGTGGCTTACCGCTCCTACTCGGACAATAACTTCTTTGACAATTACGCGCGCACCATCCAGCAGCTGTTTGTCTCGTGCACTGAAAAGGGAGGAGGCGTGGCGAGTGACGGCGCGAGTATCTGCGCGAGTAATTCCGCCCGGAGGGCGTGCACTGGATTGAGGGAGGGTGGGAGGGGGGACAAGACGCCTAGTTGGGCCAGTTATGAGGTGTTTGGAACGGATAACAAGGGGAATGGGACTCAGTGGTTGAATATTGCCGAGTATAAGGAGGAGGAGAATCAGCAGGATGAACCCGCGACTGTGACGAGTACGCTGGCAGGTCTGCCGAGTCTGACTGAGACGCCCGCGCCTTTTGGAAGTACTCAGGCTCCTACCGAGACGAGCACTGCTGCTGAGGGTCGTGGTGCACCAGCCCCTATATCTCGGGTTGGACGAGGTCTAGGTGTTGCAGTCGCCATAAACGGGGTGATGATTGCGTTGCTTTAGATCCAAAACTTGACTTTTCATTGGAGGCTATAAATTAAAGAAGATCTACCGTGATCCGCACACCTGCAGATATATTGGCATTCAGGTCCAGCATAATCCGACCCTTTGGCTAGCCAGAGACATGTCAACTGCAGCGGTCCGCCCATTTGAACGATAAAAACTGGAATCTCAGGGAAGGAAAGACATAAAAAGACAAAAGAGGACAAAAAGAAAGAGAATATGGACGAGCCCGGAATCGAACCGGGGACCTTCCGCATGCTGTGAGTTCTGAAGAACCATGCTAAGCGGGCGCTCTACCAACTGAGCCACACGCCCTTGTAGATGTTGTTGGAATAGCCATCGGAAGTGGAGGTTTTGAGTGTAGAATCTGTGGTTCGGGGTCGAGCCCTATTGCGGGACAGGGGTAAATGCGGGCCCCTTCAAAGCGACGACTTTGTGCTCCGGTGCAACTCCTTTGTTCTTGCAATGTGGGATAATTACAAATGGGTTTGAACAGATCTAATTGGGAATGTAACCATGTTGATGCTTGGGAATTATATCTGTCAAAAAAAAAAAAAAAAAAAGAAGAAAAAAAGGGTCGAAAAATGAGCCAACACACCAGCATGTCCCTTTTCTCCTCCTTAATACTTCCACTCCTCCAACCATCCCCACATCATCTTGCCATTCACAGCCGTGAGATTGGCCATGGCAGGACTCTCCTCGACCGCGCGGTCAGTCGCAAATCTGTAGCTTGGCACACCTGGACCAGCCGCCAAGGACCCGTAGAAATCAAGAAGCTTCAGCCCTGGCATCCTCTCGACCTCTTCGTCGGTTGCCGAAGCACTAACGGTTTTGAGATCAAGTAACCATTCATCAAATTTGACAGCCTCAACAGGTTGTTCTCCGTGACTAGAGTAGAACTCCTGGATCACACCAACAAGCTCACGCCATTGGGCAACGTGAGGATTGACAATATTGAAACACTTGGATCCAGGCTGTCGATATGTGTTGAATGCAACGTCAATGATGGCCTGTGCGGAAACATCAACAGGCACCCAGTCGACGGCGTCGTGGCCGAGTGATGATGGGATCTTGCCCAATGACTTGGAAGTCTTCACAAGGGATGGCAGCCATTCTATGCATCGGGTTAGCTTCTGCAGAGGTCGTCAGATGAGGAGAGAGAAAAGGACGTACCCTGTTTGTTCCACACTCCCTTTCTTCCCGCAGCACCAGCTAGCTGTCCAACTCGCAAAATAGCAGGACGTTGATCGATATGACCAATCTGTGCTGCCTTTTCCAGAATGCAGGCAGCGACATGCTTCGATTCACCGTATCCCTGTTTTGAAGGAATGCTATTATCCGAATCCCACACCTCCGGGATCACAATTGTCTCGCCATCTTGTGGGCCATGCCGAACAGCTCCCCAGTTCATGGTGCTTGCAATCGATGATACAAAGACGATGTGTGGACGCCGAGGAGACCACGCCGCAAAGTCAGCGCAACGTTTTGTTCCCGCAATAACAGGCTCAAAACTCTCCAACGGGCTGTTGAAGTTGACCGGCCAGGCGTTCATGATGATGATGTCAACGCTCTGCTGCACGTAGTGATACTCTCGGGAGCCAAGACCAAAGTTGCCGAGGGAAGTTTCCCCTGTCAGAAAACGCACTTTGGGATGATCCTTGAAGTTGACATCTCCCAACCCGCGCTCTCTGAAACTCAGCGATTGTCTCTTGATGGCATTGGCCGATCTGTTGAGGCAATACACAACCTCGACACGTCCATCGTCCAACAAGTCTCGCAACAGGTAACTTCCCAGCGACCCCGTGGAGCCAATCAGCAAAACACCAAATCCGCAATCCGGCCTCTGCAATCTGGATACCTCCTTCTTGACGAACTTGGAGTGCCGGTGTACCATCCTTGACATCTTCTCCTCGCGGGAAATGCTGTTGGCTGTTCCGTTCTGATCATTTCCCCTGGCACTGACAGCGGCTGCCAGTTGGTCAATACTTGGATTGCCGTAGACGGTCTTGAGAGCACACTCGAGGTTTGCTGCAGCCAAGCTCCGACTTATCTGCAACGCCTGCAGCGAGTCGGCGCCAACACTGAATATGTTCGTATCATCCGCAACCCCGTCCGCTCTGCTTCCAAGAACCCCATGCACCGCCTGCCGAACAATATCCTTCACCCCATGCCCATTAACACCACCGTGACCGTTCACTCCATTGACCTTGACATTCTGTGAGTGATGCAGCCTCCGAATCTCCTCTTCATATTCATTCTCCGTCCTCCTCCTCATCACACTCCCCTTCGGAGTCCTCACAAACGGCTTCTCCTTCCTCCCAACCAGAACCATACTCCTCCAAACCCTCGCATAAGCAGGATACTGCCTATTAGCCTCCTCCACGAGCGGCCAAATCTCATCAACAAATTTTTGTTCATCTTCAACGACAACAACAACCCCATCCTGCGGCTCAAGCAACAACGCGGTCTGGAACTCCCCCGCACCAACCACCAAAGCCCCCTTCACCTTCCCGCTGCCCTCAACAATCTTCTCAAACCTGACGGGATTCAACTTCTCCCCGTTGCTCAGCACAACCACGTCATCCAGCCTCCCCACGAACCTCCACAGCCCTCTTTTTGTAGGATGCTCCTCAAAGATATCCCGAGTCCTCCACTCCTCGGCCTCGGGGAAATTATAAAAAACAAACTGCCACTCGAGGTTGGGATTCCTTCTAATCACCAGCTCGCTCTTATTTCCGTCGTGGTCCCGACCGGATATAGCCTCCATCGCGATCCCCCCGCCGGGCGCAAACTCCAAGTAGTCCCAGTCGTTCTCGGCATCCTCCAGCCTCAGCGTGGGGCAGAAAAACGTCTCGGTCGACCCGATCCCGTTGAGCAGCATTGTTTTCCCGGACAGCTTCATCCCGACCTCGCGCGCGAGCGGCGCGCCGCCAAAGATCAGCATCTCCAACTCGCACAGCGCGTCCAACCCGCCGCCGTCGCCAGGCAACCCCACCATGTCCTCTATGAGAGACGGGGTGCACGCCGCCGCGGTCGGTTTTGTTTTCCGCAGACAGTCGAGCATCCCCTCCGCCGTGGCCGGCTTATCACCGGGCAGGAGCACCAACGGCCCCTCGCAGTATATAGACCGAGCTAAAAGGAGGTTAAGTCCGAATATGTGAAAAAAGGGCGCCGCGGCGGCAAGCAAGTCAGTGTCGGGCCAGGAGAGGCTGCGGCCGGCCGGCGCGGGCATGTTTTGTATTGTTGATGCGGTGCGGATTACGCCTGCTTTCAGCGGGACCGGTTTGGGGTTCCCCGTCGTGCCCGAGGTGTGCACCGTGAGGAGGGTGAAGTCGTCCGGGAGAGTTCTTTGGTAGGCCGGAGGAGAAGGAGCCGGGATAGGGTCTGTTGGAAAAAGGAAGCAGTCGAGAGGAGGGATTTCGCAGGTTACCAGGAGAGGCGGGTGGGACTGCTGGGAGGAGGAGAGAGAAGCGACGGCAGGGGCGAATTCGCGAGTGAAAAGGAACTTGGTGCATGAAGTGGCCTTCAGGAGGGAACGGTGGCCTTCCTCAGAGTTGCGCGGCGAGCTGAGTAAAAGTCTGTAACCCAGCTTGAGGCTCGCTAGGATCACGAGAGGGTATCGCGTGTCGTTGATGCCGGTATAGGCTAGGGATTCATTCTCGTGGGTGGGAGGACCAAAGCGTTGCGTCAAAAAGTCGGCCAGAACGTTGACGGCGCTGCTCAGCTGGGGCCACTTGATATCTTCCCAGTAGAGTTTTCCATCCTCAGAAGTGAGTGGGATCTTGGCCCAGAGGTTGTTGGGCTTTTCCCGGGCAAGCCGGTCAACGACAGCTGCTGGGGACTCCATTCTGGCAACCTTGGATCAAACAACTGCAGGAGGAAAAGATGAGCAAATTTAAGTAGTTTAAAACCGACGAGACAATACACGTCTGCCTCACAGCGTGAATGTAGGTACCGAGCCTGCTGGTTTGGAGGCTAACCTGAATTATTCCGAACCGGATGATAGTGATCCGTGGTCATACAGGTACATCGTCGAGCTTGTTTGTGGTTTATATAGGCAGACTGTAGCACAGCGTGGAAGATCCCATGTTAGCCATCTCAGCTGCATGCGTCTCCCCGATCCTTGGGACTCGGTGGCGCTTTTTGAAGGAGCACAGGGCCTCACAACAACCTGCCCCCAATACCCACACCACCTTCCGTTCCGTGTTGTGGGACCAATCGCAGATCCGCCCACATCGACTATCGAAGGCACAGAGTAGTCAGCAACACATCTCCAGCGTTTATGAGGGCCACTCAGAAGGGAGAAAGGCAAACCAACTTCTGACGCCCTGCTGCCACATGGCGGCGGGGACCAAGTTGGGCTTGAGTCACTGTCTCAGAAGAGCCAGCGGGACGCCATAGGATGGCGATTGGAATCTAGAGGACCTCGGGATGTAAGGCAGCGACAGAAAAGAAGGTGATGGTGCCGCTTGCAAAAGGGGCACAGATAGCCCCGGCGCGCAAAAAGAACGAAAATGCCCGCAGGCTCTCTTATCAACATTGAATTTATGTATCGGAATAAATCCGTCAAAAATGATCCAACTAAACTGAAGTATCCAACAAATGGTCTACGTGCACCCCAAAAAATACCTGACATGAATAAGAACATTGAAGCATAAAAATGATGTTTTAAAAGGTCGGTGCAATCTTCACCGGCAGCCTCTCAACCCCTCCATGGTTTCCCGTGTGATTCCCCAGTCTGAAGGACCGCAACGAATTTGTTGACAGTCGGGTCGCGTGTGCACTCTGATGTTGTGATACCGACCTCACACTCATGCTCCTACCGGGCCGACTCCTTTCACTGGCCATAGACGTCACGCTGCCATGAGGGGAAGGTGGCACTGAGGTCCCCCTAGATCGAACATTGAGCTTCCCCATCATGGCATTCATAGCTGTGGCTGCATCCAACGGCGGAGTTGGTGGCGATCGCGCGGAATGCATTCCCGACATGCTGAAGCTGTGTCCGTGGCTGCCCGACGTAGAAAACTGCGAACCTCTCGACGAGTGCATGGCTGTTCTGTTGTTGTATGACGCCATCATTCTCTCAATCGATGGTGCTCGCGACGATCCTCGGAAGGGTGGTGACTTTGTTGAGCTTGATGGAGGAGTGGGGGGCCGCCCTGGTCTGCCGACCCGGCCGTGATCGTGCTGTTGTTGTTCAATGGCGGCTTGGATCTGCTCAAAGGACAAATTGGAAGGAAGTTTGCTCAACCTCCGAATGGAACGCATGTTGGCGTCGATGAAGCTCGACATCGCCTTGACCGCTGTGTTGTTCT